GAGTGGCGTACCAGAAGCAACACCAACCGAGCGAGCGGGAGCAACCTCGACTGCATAACTCGAGTTACCAGCACCTCGACCACCACCAGCGACACGTGATCCCCCAGCTGAACGCGAGCTCCCAGCTGAAGAAGAAGCACCAGACTTGCTTCTGCGAGCAAGAGACTTGCACTCCAAAATAATGTGTCCCGAGCGCTTGCAATATATGCATATATTTCGACGCTTGCAATGAGGCTGAATATGGCCAACCTCTTAACAGAAATGACAAGTCAGATGACTCGTATCGCCTTGCTGAAAAAATGGTTTCCCTGAGCTGCCTTGACCGACAGCAAAGGCAGAGTCCCCAAAGCCCGACTGATCAAGCTGTGTTTGGCTCCGGAGGCGAGTTTCTTCGCGAATGAGTTCACCAAGGGCTTCATCAATTGTCCCAACCTGACGGTGCAGCAAAGAAGCACGAATGGCTTCGAAATCCGGACGCAATTTCATAAGAAACTGCATAAGACGAGCACGAGACCTCTCCTTCAAAACTTCCTCAGAGGCCGCAGTAGACAACAAAGAAGCAGTTAAGAGATCATATTCAACCCATAAGGTAGACAATTCCTGATAATAAGTCCTGATATCACGATCACCTTGTTTGAACAATGAAATTTCAGTTTCCAGCTGAAATTGACGAGCCGAATCGTTCTGAGTATATGTGGAACATATATGCTTCCACATATCACTTGCCGCGGTGAAACGACGAAGACTAAGCCCAGTGGTTGTATCAACACAAGACACAAGCCAGGTGATCACCTGAGCATTCCCGGAAGTCCACTCGATAATAGTATTTGGTGGAGCATCAGCTGCTGGCCGAGGGACAGTACCAAGCAAGAATGGAAGAAGCTTCTTCCCTTCAACAAAATTCCGGAATTGAAATTCCCACAGGGGAAAGTTTTTTCCATCAAACTTAGCAGAGAATCCATCCATCCTGAGTAGCGAACAAGACAAGACAGCAAGGAGCTAGCCGAGCAAAGAAGGAATGCGAACCTGACAGTGCAAGAAGCACACGATTGCACGAAACCAAATAGAAGCTGAATTCCCCTGTGAATAAAAGAACCCGCCAAACACCAAATAGATGCTGAAGTCCCCTGTGAATAAATGAACCCGCCGAACAGGGATGGAAGACAACTGCTAAAAGAGATTCCAGAAAGCAGAAGAGACAAAAAGAAGCCCGCCGAACCAAATAGACAAAGCCCAAATATAGACGATAAGGAGGCCGAGAAAACCCTAGGCAGAAGACCTGATGCCCGACGAACTAATAACGATGGCGAACAAGCGAAACAAAGCCTTAGATCGCAGGCTCTGATACCATGTCAAAGAATCGAAAGCAAGAGAAAGAACACCAAAGTTTTTTAACGTGGTTTCGTCAATACGACACTAGTCCACGGAGAGAATCTCCCTCTCAGGTTTTTATGGATTGTGTTTTCTTACGTTCATCATAGTACACAGCAACATATTTATAGGTTTGCTCTACAAACTCTAACTACATATCGCAGGCTATTTACATAAAGGTACCCAAAATATATTAAACTAACAGTTACCTCTACTCCTATGGAGGTTCCTCTGGATAGCTCCATGACTACGACTACGATCTACGACCCTACAAAGAAGATCTTTGACAGAGCAGTTCTACAAAACTAGAGAGAAAAAGGTTTACTTGCGACAATGCAGTTTGTGATTTGATTTTGCCTTCTTGAGTTTCTCTCTCTTCCCGATGTTTATACCCCAATCTTCTGCCCGTAGTCGTAGTAACCGCCTTCGCGCCTTTGTCTCTCACGTTCTTCATTCCTGTCAACCGTGTGGGCAACTTTTGCCCTTGTTGCGTAACCTCCCACAAGTGCGAAACCGCTTGGACACACGGGAACTTGGCCAAAACGACACTAAGCCAAAATCCACAATTCTCCACCACGGTTTGATGCTCAAAACAACCCTGTCCACATAATAAACAACGACTCGAGTCCGCGACATCGTCAAACACACGCCATTGCTGAACTCTCGCCACTGCGACGTTGTTTTAAGCTAAACAACGTTGCTTCCTATCCTCGCGGTGTCGTTGGACCTTTGCGACACCGTTGGGCTTATCTCACAACGTTGTACTCCACAAAACTATGTTGTTTTCCACACCGCGACATCGTTTATGTGCAATTTCTCGCGACATTGTTTTTACTAAAATGTGCTGCCTCTGGCTATCATGGCTGACTTTGAATTCGCGATATCGTTTAAAACTTGGAATTGGCCGAGCTTCGCTGCCAAAATCCTACCTACTACGGTATTGTTTTTAATTAAACGGTGTCGCTTAGCAATACCGAGGCATTGTTGATACCTCGCACGGTGTCGTTTTTAGCTAAACAACACCGCTTGATTCTACGTGCGACATAGTTTAAATATTAAACGACTCCGTTTCAAGTCTCACGGTGTTGTTGTCGAACTCTGTCATGTCATTAAGTCTCCCGCAACGTTGCTTGTCATTAAACGGTGTTGTTTATTCCCCAAACAACTCCGTTTGCTTTTTTACTCCGCGACATTGTTTTATATTAAACACTATCGTTATGAAGCTCATGCTTTAGCTTCATGTAAGAATTTTGTTGTTTTTTAATGGAAATGGAACTCTTAATTATGTTTATCTCGCTGAGTGACTGTCATTTGGTTTAATTAATGAACTGATCGGATAAATTTTAGATCCCCGACAAACCCGAAATCTGACAACGGGCGGGCCTGATTGATATTTTACATCCGATAACACAGTTCGGTCGGGAATTCCCCGAACCCGAAGTTTCCCCGGGCGGGTAACGAATCCATATACATCCAGTCCCGATACGCCCGATTGCCATCCCTAAAGGTACTGTGAGGAACAGTTCTTTAGGATATTTAGGAGATGGAATGTTCATCTCATTCATATATGTCTTCTGTATGGAGTAACATTTTACTTTCTTGGCTAGCACAATGCAAGCACAATATATGCTTGCATGTTATTTTGATGCTTCAAAAAGGAGTTACTTTATCCTATACATGATGCTTCTACTAATCTTGAGTCACCAATTAATTAATAATAATATAAGTACTGTTTGTATCACCTAGCTCAAGATACGACAATAATTAGTAGTACTTGTTGCTAGGACTTAACTTGCGATCCACTCGTTCGATCTCGTCTGGAAGAAGGGATCTTGTGGAAAATTGGGAATGTCGAGTTGTTGGGAGATATTCAATCGTGAATCATATACCGTTTAGTAACACACTCCCTCAAACAAAAGTCACCACATATGGGCTTGAAGTTTGCACAGGTCCGGACACCATGTGCTTAACAGAAACAGATGGGGGTCATCGGGATTCGAACAAAAGACATCTTTGTCACAGAAGGCTCTGATACCATGTCAATAACCAGTTGATCCTCAATAACTCGAGTTGTTGGGAGAGATTCAACCGTGAATCATATACCGTTTACTAACAATTAAAACGATTTTTGGCATCCTATTTGAGAAAATTAATTAAGTTAGAATCACTAGTCACTACTTGTCTACTCATCATGCATTCGGTCCTAGGCTCCTAGCCAACCAATTACCAAACGTATCATATACTGACCCCCCGGGCCTTGTGCATTAATTGGGAGAGGGGCTGTTGAAAAGAGATTGCACATTACAAACAAACAATAAAAACTGAATTGCTATTCGTTGCCCTAAAATTTAAATTATTTCGCCCTAAAATGTACTAAATTGACATTTATACCCCTATACCCAATTTCAATCCGTAATCCCTAACTCGGACCAATTGTCCGACCACCGTTCCCCCAACCCGTCGCCGCTCCCATTCCCCCACCCTGCCGACCTGCTGTTCACCCGTCCGACGATTTGCTGCTGAGGAAGGAGAAAGAAGGAGGAAGAAGGTCTGCTGTTTGGTCTCCCGCTGTCATTCCCCAATCGCCCGCCTACCCGCTGCAGCTATTTCTTTTCTTTTTTTTTAATTCCGGCGGACAGGTTTAAAACTCGAAAGGTTCTACGGACCGGAAAGAAGAAAGAAGACAAACAAATAGCAGAGCCGTCGGCGCTAAAACCACTGATAATCCCCTATTTTCATATATATATATATATATATAAAAATTAGAGTAACGAGAAGAGCATAGTAGAATCAGAATGAAGAAATGGAGTAGAACGAACAGTCGAGCACAAGTTCGTGGGTCGATGGAGGATTGAAGCTCCATGTAGCAGACATCGGAGCTGCAAGTCAAATTCGGATCTCCGATCAATTTGCTTAATTAGTTGCTAAAAATGGAGATACTGGGTAATTTGTTAATTTAACTTTTGGACATTTCATTTCTCTAAAAAAAACTTTTGGACATTTCATTTTGTTATTTGGTATAGTAGTATGCGTTCATTTTAGTATTTATATATGTTTTGAAAAGAAAGACTAAATTAAGGATATTTAAGTCATTTTGATAGATATTAGGGCGACAAATAAGAAGTTTTAGGGCGACGAATAGCAATCCCCATAAAAAATGGCTAAATTACACATTTGGCCACTCAAATTATACAAATCTTTCACGTTTGCCACCCAAATCACTTTTCTTTCTTATTGACCACTAACTTTACGAATCATTTCACTATTAGTCACCGGCCGTTATACTCCGTTAAATTTGTCATACGTGGCAGTCAAACTATAAAGTTTGACCGTTAACTAGATGACGTGGAAATTAAAAAACAATTATTTTTTCAACTCATCATTCCACTTACTTTATTTATCTGATTTATAATATTAATTATTTAATAAAGACAGTTTATATTAATTAGTTAACGGTCAAACTTTATAGTTGACTGCCACGTAGGACAAATTTAACGGAGTGTAACGGCCGGTGACTAACGGTGAAATGATTCGTAAAGTTAGTGGCCAATAAGAAAGAAAAGTGATTTGGGTGGCAAACGTGAAAGATTTGTATAATTTGAGTGACCAAACGTGTAATTTAGTAAAAAAAAGTGTAGAATTATTGATTAAGGTGGGGGCGGTACGGTAAGCACGAGATATGGCCGCGATTAGGGAAATCTTAACGAAAATGAAAGGTTGGATCATTAATTAATGCCAGATTCCGCAAAATAAGTCTCACGAGGACAGTGCAGTAATATAATCAGTCTTTAAAAGAAAAAAGTAAAGTGATGTAAGAAAAGCAAACCAACTGAGTCTAATTGGAATTGTCGAAATCAATGCATTTTATGAATTATAATGTTTTTCTCATGCAACTTCTTGTCAATATTCTGTTCAAATTTCGTGTGCACATTGAAAAAAGAAAACCCACTAATGGGTCACTTGTGGGCCCTCTATTTACGCTCACCCGCATTGATCGCCCATCAAACTATTTTTCCCTTCTCGCAACTGGGAAGGCCACTACCTTTTGCTGCTTTTATCGAGAATTGTGTCCAGTACTCTAGTTAGAGCATGGTTGTCAAACCGGTTTCATGCCGGCCGGTTCAACCGGTACCGGTCAGCAAACCCGCTGGAAAGGAGCCGGTATTTAACTGTGGTCAAATCCGGTCAATGCCGGTCAGATCCGGTCAAATCCGGAAATTCCGGCCGGTTAGACCAGAAACTGGAATTTAATGTTACACATATTATATCCAAAAATAAACATCATTCATAGGATTTGAACCAAGTATCTCATGTTCATTTTAGTTTAACTTATACACCAGTAGGCTACAAGAAATTTTGTTGTCTATATTAACCTTATATGTTATATATCTAATACTAAATTTTACACAAATCATTATAAACATTAATAAATTTCATTTAATAAATTTTATTTTTAAGCATCTAATTGTTTAGTCTTAGTTACCAATTCTTAGCTATAAATTATTTTGTGTGAAATAATTCTTCTAATTGCTTTTTTATGACTAATTTATTTGAAATTGAGGATTTCCATTTTCCTCATTTATTTTATTAAAACCGGCACAACCGGCATGAATACTGGTTGTACCATGGTCAGACCATTCCACTTACAAAACAGGCACACCGGCATAAACCGGTTTGACAACCTTGAATTAGAGAGAGGCTGCGGTAGCTGGTGGGTGGGCTACAGATATTTTGCAGGTGTTACTTGGTGAATCTTTGCGCCACGTTCGTCTTTCAGTTTGATCTACTCATTTAACCTACCCGGCACAACTCTCGATGTCTACTTTTCTCTCTCTGTGAACTAAAATAAGGCCGGCGAAGCAGAAAAACAACTCAGGCACACCTTGCTCTCTCTCTTTCTCAGTCCCCTCTCTCTACTCTCTACTCTACCGCTTCGAGGAGTGATCTCAGAGCCGTCGATCGCCTGCCGTGGACTATGATTTTCGCGAATCCGTTTCTGTGTAGGTGAAGCCATAGTAACATAGGTCGCTCGGCTGCCTCATCTGGTGAAGAAGAAAATCTTAAACTGTATATCCGTGGCGGCTTTGGGGAATCCATTTGTCTGAGGAACCCAAAGGCAAGTTGTCTCAATTCATTCTTCTTGGCTTTGTTTGCAAGTATCTCACGTTTATCTTCCTTTTTTCCTCATATCGGCGAGGCCAGCGATGGGTTAAAAGAGTTTCAAATTGTTCAGTGATCGACGGACAACCCAAATCAGCTAAATTCCTATTTTTAATTCAGCTTTATTTTGATCATGGGTTTGTGGCTGTTGTGTAGATAAGGACTATCAAGGTGAAGGAGCATTCAGATCTAGCCTTCAGCGCAAAGAGGCTGGGTGATCATGGGCTGGCTCACAAATCAGGGTAATATTTATATTGTAGTGACTTATCTTCTTCCTAACATCAGGCTTCATGACCCATCTTCTCTTTTTTATGAAAAATTTCTAAAATGGCATGGTTATTTTTTATTTATTTTAGAGCCTGGTGGTTGATTGCAATGGATCTTTCAAAGAGAAGAGAGCCAATTAAAATAGAAGGGATCTAGAAAGTGGATTCGAGAAAATGCATGTTCGCTGCAACATCCCCATAGCCTTTGTCATCCTCCACCTCTTCTAGCGTGGTAGCAGAAAGGTGATCTTGAGCAAGATGTGAGCAAACTTGCTCCACCCACTCTGTTTGCTTCGCTGAGCGCTGAACAGTCTCCTCCATATCATGGAGAAATGAGGGATCGGAAGCAGCAAGGGCTTTGATTTGAAGATCCATCTTGGAGCATGATCTCTCAGTGTCTCGAGCAAACTGCTCCACGAGAAGCCTTAATTGTTTGTTCGGATCTTCCAGTGAAGTGTAGCATGGCTCTGCAGAGTGGCCCGTGAAGGCTGCCATGGGTAACTCCAGCTCCGACGGCCCTTCTGGTTGTGGGAGAAAGTCTTCTTGGTAATGAGGTTGTTCTTGATATGCCCAGGGGTCTGGTTGTTCTCCGTAGAAAGGGGGTTGGTACTGGAACCCGAATCCATAGTCTTCTCCTCCTTGATTGCTCCAGGGAGTCTCCGGGTAATACCACTCGGATGGTGGTGGATACCCCCACTGGTTGGAGAAGCCATGCGGATCCATGATTCAGATCTGCACCAACAAAAACAAAAAACACCCAAGTGAAAAGCAAGGGTGGAAAAGAAAAGAAAAACGCTAAAGTAACAAACTTCTGCCTTTCCTAATAATCTAGAAAGTCCCCGGCAACGGCGCCAAAAACTTGATGCTCTAAAACACAACACCTAACAATGGCCAAGTGTAACCAATGAAAGGGACTGCAGTATAGTGGCACAAGTAATAAATATCGAATCCACGGGTCTCTAGAGTTACTATTACCCAGCTTCAGTTCATTATCTAGCAAACTAGATTAAGGATTGATTAACTAAACTACTCTACTAACTAAACTAAGTAAAACTACTAATTACAGTTTGGGAACTCACTTAGGTATGATTCCCCCTAGCTCCTCAATTAGGTCCAAGTTGTAATTCCTTTTGGTTGATTTACTGTTGATTAGACTGCGGAAGATCCGACAGTAGCTTGGAATCTCTTAAGCTGACCAAGCCCTCTCAGTCTAACTATCCGGCAGACGACTAGTCTTCACCGGGATAGAAAGCTGAAGCAGTAAGAACAGAACTCCACTACTGGAATTGGATTCCAGTACAAAGCAGTAAACTAGCTAACTCTCGTATAGCCAATCTCCTACTACCGAATGATGAGACTCTAGCAACCTAATCAGATTCTATCTATCTCAGATTGCAGCAGGAATCAGGAAAAGTTGATCAGACTTCAATTGACTCAATAAACATGCATCATTCGATTATAATCAAACAATATAGCATCCAAAACTTCATACAAGAAAGATCCTAACTCATGGAACTAAGGTTCCTCAAAACCTAAGTGAAGGGAAGTTACTCCATAGAGAAGAGAGAGACTGCAGAAATCTGATCTAGATCTTCAATCTCCATCTCCAAGCTTGATTCCCGAGCTCCAATGGCGAAGAAATCCTCCAAAATAGCTCCAAGAATGTTCCCAAGTCGCTCTCTCTCTCTAGGGTTCGTCCCTTGGGTGTTTGGGATCCAAAAACCCAGCTCTCCCTTTCCTTTGGCTCTAATCTGCCTCAAAAACCCGATTCTGGGCGAATTACGGGCTGAATTACGGTCGTAATTCTTCCATGCCCGTATTTTGCCCAAAACACGCGTTTTGGTTAAGTTTCAGTGCACCCAAAGCTCCTCTCGGCAGTGAAATTACGGGCATGGGAGGGGAAATTACGGTCGTAATTCTCCTGCCCGTAATTCTTCCTCCACCCCTGTTCAAAGCTTCGTTTCTCCCTCGTCTGGACTCCGAATCAGTCGCCGTTTGAACCCAGACGCTTGTAGTCTCGTCCTCTTTCTTTTCATAACAAACTTTCATGATTCTTTGTCCATAAAGTGAGGTAGAAATCCATTCTTCTTCAGGTCATGCTCGTGTTTCTTCTCCCTAATCGCCAATTGATCTCCGATATGATTGACTTGAAACTTGCGCCTATGCTTCACTTTATTTGCTAGGGCCTGAAATGTGACAAAGGAACACAACCTAGCGTAAAATAGGCCAAAGAAGCGATAATGCAAGCTTAAACGATCAAGAAACAAAGGGGAAAACATGTGCAAATATCGAGTCATCAACTACAAGGAAAAAGATCTGGATGTGGTAAGCCTATGTGTGATTCTCAGAGCATCCATGATAAAATGTTGCGAGTCTTTGTCATCATCTCTCTCTCACAGTCACAACTCACAACTCACCAGCTCCCAATCTTTCTCTTCTTATGGTCTTCAACCTTTGCAATGTGGTAGATTTGCTTTTGGATATGCAAACTGTAACATTTCCTTGAGATTGTACCCTCTTTCAGTTTAGCACAACATTTGTGTATGAGTCCATGGATTTGATAGGAGGTTGTAACTCTAAATTGAAAATGAGACCATCAGGATGCAAGAATTCGATCGAGTGCTTATAATTTTCTGCCATAGATGACCTACTGCCACGTGGTAGACTGTAGACTGTAGAAAGACTATGAACTAGAAATCTGTTTGCAGTTGTAGCTAACATTATCACAAGATGATCCGTTCTGAAGGTTTAAAATGCCAACAAAGGAAGAACCAATGTATCGTTTTGCGTTGTGGCCAATCAAATCTTATCCATTTTTATTGCTTCGGATAATTACCATGTACAATGCCTTTCTGTTATCAAGTTAGCTTTAATTTGCGGTACCTTTAAATCAATGTAGAACAATCTATAAAGCATGGCTCACTCAATTTGAATGGTTGTTGTATTTTCAGTTTTTCACTTATAGATATGCATTTTCCTTTTTTGTTTATTTACTTATTAAGTATGTCAAATAACATTAGTGAAAGGTTTTGAAAATAATAATTGTGATGTTAAAGTGACCCACATTTTATCTATGATATATGCTGGTATTTGATTTGAATTTTATAGTCATTATGAATATTTTCCTCACCATCACTATGTGTATTTTGATGTTTTGATAAGTATGTCTTTGTAATCCCATGTCCCTGGCTCTGATTATTGATCCTCATTTGTGGAAACTGACATGGGGCATTCAGACACCTCCTAAACTAAGGTTTTTCATTTGGCAGTGCCTAAGAGTAGTCCTACCAACGACAGTAGCGCTCCGTTCTCGTGGGATTAATTGTCTAAGGCGATGTCCTGTTTGCTGGAGGAGCCGAGAGAGTATAGAACATTTGTTTTTTCATTGCCCCCTTGCCATTATGTTATGGTACTTTGTGGGATTAAGTGACATACTGCTTTCGGCCCCAACGATGAACTTTAGTGTATGGTGGCGTCAAGTTATGCTTTCAGAGCAGTCCCAAACCCATATTCTCCAGATCGTGTGTCTCTTGTGGAGAATATGGAAATCAAGAAATAAAGTGGTATTTGAAAATACCCAGCCTCATGTACGTTCGCTTGCCCGCCAATTCTCCTTTCAAGTCCGTGAAGTGCTCTCTTCCTGTCTTCCTGCCCCGCCTGCTCAGCCTCGTGTGACTGCCTCTCCATGCCAGCCCTGGGAATGCCCTCCTGAAGATGTTCTGAAGATCAACTTTGATGCTGCTGTTCATGCCTCTGGTTGCTCGTCTGGCCTTGTGGTTCGTGGCTCGGACGGTCATGTTCTGCTTGCCTCAGGTTTCCAGCATCCAGGGATTTCAGACCCGTACCTTGCAGAGCTCCTTGCAGCAAGGGATGCAATCTCTCTTGCAGCGTCTAGAAATCTGCCTCGTGTCATCATTGAGGGAGATGCGGCTGTGGTCATCCGTCAGCTTAGCCTTGGTGCAGTGGAGGATTCCGTGGGTGGCCCCATTCTTAGAGATTGTAGGAGTTTCCTTGGATCTTTGTCTCTTTGTATAGAATTTAGGGCGGTTCCGCGGACTGCCAACTGGGCTGCCCATAGAGTGGCGCGTAAAGCCCTGTTGCTGTCTCGGCTAGAGTTAGCTTCTTTTGACTTTGTAGGTTGGTTTGTTAGCGGGGTGGGGAGGGCGTTTGGGTAGTGTTCGTTCTAACTTTCTTTCTGATATTACTCGGGCAAAAAAAAAAATCCCATGTCCCAGCGCGGAGCGCGGGTAATGAAAACTAGTATCTATTAAAGGAATTGGTTTAAGCGTATGAATGATTATTATCATTGTTGGGTGGTATTTCGTGTGCACATATATATTCAAGGAATCGGTTAAACTTATGAATAATTATTATCATTGTTGGGACTTGGGCGGCATAGGTTTTTTAATACAAATGGAACTTGTACCATTATGAGATTTGTATCGAGTCTAGTTAAAGGTAAAAGTTCAGTTTGTACTATAAATAATTTTGTAATTTTATGTTATAGTACAAATTTAATTTGTACTATAAATGAATTTGTACATTTATATTATAATACAAATTCATTAGATGACATTTTGATCGACGATTACATATCTGAATCTTGTAGGATTTTGCATGATAAGGTTTTGTATCCTATATGAACCTTTATTATATGGTCTTTCCTCAGTATAACGCTTTAGGTTAGGGGTGGGAAACCGTTCGGTTTAACCCGGTCTTTTAGATGAGAATTGCGCCAATGAAGTATGAACAACCCGAAATTGGATTGGATTGAAAAGAGTTTCAATCGTGACTGGATTGGATTGGAAACAATATGGTCTGGTTTTAACCTGAAAATCGAAAAGACACAATTCTCGTCTCAAAATGTCACGTAACTCAAAATACATTTGACATAAAAAAAAACTTTCATATGCTTTGTGGTGAAGGCAAGGCTGAGAGTAGCAAGCAGGATGTGATGGTTGATGGTAGCCGGTGGAAAGGAAATTGGACAATAGTAGTTTGAGTGCAATATGCTTGGCCAAGGATCAAGTCCATCATGAGATGACTAAACACATCAACGTGAGGTATCATTTCTTGAGGATAGAGAAGAGGATTAAGGTGAAGAAGGTTGGCACCGCGGATAATCCTGCTGACATGTTCACGAAGCCGGTTCCACATGGCAAGTTCCAAGTTCCAACACTGCTTGGACTTGCTGAATGTCTTGAGTGGGTGACTCCGCCCTATGTGGCATTGATGGCAGGAGAGAGAGAAGGAGCAGAGTACATCAAAGATTTCAGAGGAAGAGGATTCAAGTTAAGGTGGAGATTTGTTGATGTGACTTGAATCACACTATCAGCCGCTACGATTGGAAGTCACGGGGTCTCGCTGTATGGGTCCATACACGTTTGTGTTGTCAGTTTTGGGCCTGGTGTGTAATCATTTCCTTTACCAGATTGGATTAGGTTTAGAACCACATGGAGAAGTATAATACTTCTCATCTCCTCTGTAATCTGTAATCTCCTCGATATAGTGAAACTGGCTCTCTCCTGTCCATGGACTAGCTAACACACATTGTGTTAGTGAACCGCGTAAATTGTGTGCTTGTTTTCGATGCTCGCTTTCGTATTCTTGCTTTCTCGATTCCGACGATTTTCCGTTCCCTATCAGTGCAGTTATAACAAACCTCTTTTTGACAATGTTTTTTACTCTCATCTTCAAGCTCGCTCATCTCCCCCAATTGTCTAAGCTTATAAATGGTGGTATTATTTCTTTTTATATCTAATTGTCTTTCCCTGTGTTCCTTTTGTGAGCATAATCAAAGGTTTTTGTTTCACATATGAATGTGCTTGGGATTTTAGGGAGAACAAAATGCAACATGAAGGCACAAAGTTACTTTAACTTTGGGTCTTCAAATTTAGCTCCCATGTATTGAGCATATGCGATCAATTTTCTCTTCATCGCCCACTGTTTTAACTACCTCTACTTTCACATGAAAATATTATTACTGAAGTTAACAATGAAGCATCTAAAAGTTCAACTTCTAATTATAACTTCCGCAATGCACAAAATAATCCTTTGGTTTTTCTTTTATAGCTTGAGCCCTTGACTCAAGTTAAGAATGCTCAGTGTGAATCTTGGCACTGGGTCATTTTCTGGTTTCTCTAATAGCTTCTATAACGAAACTCTCTTGCATGCATGCAAAATGGTCACAAATTCTATGGCATATTAGTTTGTGCAAAATAGGTAAGGTTAATGTTGCATCGAGTAGGGTTTTTAGGTCGCCGTGCTACATCTTCAACATGCTACTTCATATTGTTGATCAATCACTAATGTGCCCTGTGTCTTCTTTCACATCATATAATTTCATATATATAACTTGTACCGTGATGAATAAAGATGGTAACTATTGAGAATATATATTTGATTAAACTACATGAATGGAAAATCATTTTCTTTTATGATTAAGATGGATTATGTATGTATAATAGAAGAAAACTCTTATATTTTGTTCTGTTTGAAATCTAAAATAAATAGACACCATTTTCTTTCTAAATATTTTTATTAGTTGTTTATTTTTGTTATTTATTGTTACGTTTTTTTTTATCAGTATCGAACAACTATACATTATAAATGATAACAACATATAATCAAACTCTCCCGGCCAAGGACCGGGCCCGGTGCTAGTCCGTATAATACAAGTTTTTCTAAACCCAATGGGAATAGAGGCTCCCCATCTTAACCCGCTGGGCTCGTCCCGAAAGCTTCATTAGTCAGGTTCCTAGCATACCTGAGGCCCACTCGTTTGTTCCGTAGTTGGCCCAACGCAGTCTCTGATTTCCAAGAAAATTCAACCCAAATCTCAAACCCAGAGTGAGCCCACTTTCCAACAAAGGGTTGGTAAAGGGTAGGCGGTTGAAGATGAACAGAACCTTTCAAGGCCAGCTATTCCAACTACAACCCGGTAGATCTATAAATACACACTCAAACTAAAGCCTTTCAATATATATAAGGTCGTATTTATCATCACCACGTACAACAATATATAGAGAAACAAATTACCAGCCGTTTTCCTATTTACAGTTAATCGATCAGCAGGATGGCGATTAAGAGCAAAGTGCTTGTCGTCGGCGGGACGGGCTACATCGGGCGGCGGATCGTGGCGGCGAGCCTGGCTCAGGGCCACACCACTTACGTGCTGAAGCGGCCGGAGAGCGGTTTGGACATTGAGAAGCTTCAGATCCTGCTGTCCTTCAAGAAGCAAGGCGCTCAACTCGTGGAGGCCTCTTTTTCCGACCAGGACAGCCTCGTCCGCGCCGTCAAGCTCGCAGACGTCGTCATCTGCACCATGTCCGGCGTTCACTTCCGGTCCCACAACATCCTGCTCCAGCTCCAGCTCGTCGACGCCATCAAGCAAGCTGGAAACGTCAAGGTATATTATGTTCGTACATACTTCATTTGGTCCAAATTACTGCTTTGATTGATTTTTATGGTTTTTTGTTCATTACTTAGGTTCGGTGTGTTGTTTTAGGGATAAAATCTTACCAACTATATTACTTCCCAACTTAATTACAAAATTTACATTTTATTTTACCTTCATGTGGTGTACACTCCCAACTGCTATTCGTATTACTCATCACATGAGAAATTTTACAATGCAATATAGTACTAGTGCCATAGGTTTTTGCCTTTATGATACAACTTAAAATTGTACGATACAATTTCAGATTGTATCTATATATACTTTTGGTACAAATTCTTTTATGGTACAACTTGAACTTGTACCTTTATATGATGGTACAACTTCAAGTTGTAAAGTTGTACCATAACATAATGATACAAATTGCTTTATGGTACAACCTAAACTTATACATTTAATCTTATGGTACAACTTCAAATTGTATATTAAAGCACCAATGCTATTTAGTACAGTAGTAGAAGTGCTCCTCATGACATACCTACGAGATTAATGTTAACACGACACTTTGTTATATAATTTGGTTACTGCATATCATGTATGTATATAGCGGTTCGTGCCGTCGGAGTTCGGGATGGATCCGGCGAGGATGGGAGGCGCGTTGGAGCCAGGCAACGAGACTTTCGAGCAGAAGATGGTGGTGAGGAAGGCCATCGAAGACGCCAACATCCCGCACACTTACATCTCCGCCAACTGCTTCGCCGGTTACTTCGTCGGCAATCTCTCCCAGCTCGGCACCCTCACCCCTCCCTCTCGCGACCAACAGGTCGTCATCTATGGCGGTGGGAACGTCAAGGGTAAGTGAAGTAACTCCTAATTTAATTCAACCTAGCCACCCACCTAATCATTCCGACACCACCTATATATATATGCTTTCGTAAACAGTAATACACTAATTATTATAGTTACTTAATTTAAGTGCTCTGTTGTTGTTGTTGTTGGTTGTTAGGTCCCTTAATTCTTAATTTGACTACATAATAATCCACCTACGTTTCCAAATCCAAAGTCAGTAATGGCTGGCCAGCTAGAAAAAGCAAACCACTTTTAATTATCCCTTAATTTTCTATGTTTTCTCACCATGCACCAAGAATTTCCACCAACTTGTCAATGATCTATGATGTTGACATGTGTCAACAGTATACCTTTGAAGAATGCTTAATATATATTGCGTCATGCTGACGTGCTCATGATGTTATATATTGATAATGCGATAAATACTGACACTAGTTAACCGAATAATTTTTTGGGTTACGTTTGGATCGACGTGGCACGTCAATATGCATGCATGTGTATATATTATAATTCTATAATTCGTTATAATAAATTATGAGCATATGTATTATATACGCATGCAGTGGTGTACGTGGACGAGGACGACGTTGGCACGTACACGATCAAAGCAGTAGATGACGAGCGAACGTTGAACAAGACGGTGTACATAAGGCCGCCTGAGAATGTGATGACTCAGGGAGAGTTGGTTGCCATGTGGGAGAAGCTGAGCGGTCAACAGGTTCAAAAAGTTGACCTTTCCGCCCAAGACTTCCTTGCTTCCATGGAAGGTAACGTCGTCGTACTAATGGAAAGTCTTCGATCTTCATTGTTTTTATATACACTGTATTTATACGGTAGACTTGATACGTATTAGTGTATTCGTGTGTGTGTGTATTTATACGCAGGGAAGGATGTAGCTACCCGCGCAGGGATAGGGCATTTCTACCACATATTCTACGAGGGGTGCCTAGCCAATTTCGAGATCGGTGAAGATGCAGCAGAAGCTTCGAGTTTGTATCCAGAAGTGAAGTACACTCGCGTCCATGAATATTTGCAGATATTCCTTTGAAAAATTATCGTATATATATACGAGTTAATTTCATGAATATTTTTGCTGAAGAAGATGTCAACGATATAATGCGGTTCAATCCTTTGAGCTATACGCACTATGTACGTGGCTCTAGAATAAGCAAGGATGGGCTCTAATTTGATTGTGATCGTTACCTAGTGGGTTGTTGGATGAATGTTAATTCATGATTATATATATATGGCGCCTGATTTCTAAGCAAATGATGTTTAAATAATGAATTTGAATCCCATTGAGCGTGAAAACCGTTACCCGTGTTTTAGCTTATAGTGATACTTTTTTTAGAGTTAGACGTGTTTGCCCGCCACACCGCGTAGAAAGTGGTTGGAATAGTGCCGGTAGGACGGGTAGTTCAATATTCATATCATTTTTCAAAATTAAGTATAGTTAATTAGATCGAATAATTTTTGTGTGGGTCTTAGATAGACAAGTATAGGGGTGTTCAAATGGTTACCATGGTTATTAGTTATTACCAAATCAAATAAAGTTAAATTTCATTAACCATGGAATACAATATCATAACCAAACCGTCCAAACTAATACAGCAACCAAATTAACCAAACTAAAGTTTAATCAGTTTGGTTAATTGGTTAACCAGATTAACCAAATATAAAATCACATTATCATTAAGTGAGAAAATTTTCGGTTAATTTATCAATTCACAATTTATATAATGAATAAAACATAACAATCAACACTTGGTTATAGTTGACCTTTAACATAAATACATGCAACTAAGACAATTATCTTACAGTTAGTATAGAAGTATTCACCTAGCAAAAATTTATCACAATGGTATGGGTTAATGAATTGTCGTGTTTGTATGAATTGACTAGTCTTTTAGCAATTTTCATAGGTTGAAAAGGACCTTGCTTTTAAGTTTTCATCCAACATAATGTATGAGATTTGTCTAAATTAGGCGTTCATATGTTGTGGTCTACACTCTACATATACAAATATACATTATAGGAACAATATCAAGCTCTATATTTTATGAGTCTAAAAGGGATGAACGTTTAACTCTTGAGTGCTTATTCAAAGTATTAAGTATGTATATATATTAGATATATGGCTAATTATTTATCTGGTTAATTTGGTTTGACTGGTTAGGAGTGTCTGAAACCAAACCAAACCACCTAAACCAAACAAGCTAAAAACTTTAACCAAACCAAATTATCCAAATAATACTGGTTAAAATGGTTACCATGGTAACCACACCGTTTGAACACCCCTAGACAAGTACACTCATTATTACACGTAAATTAAGGGACAACGCTTCATAAATGAAAAAGAGATATGATATGTTGAATAACTAAATAAATCTGATTAGTTGAAAGATGAAGTCTTGTGGTTATTCAAAATCTTCTTTGGTGAAAATACGATTTAAGAAGAACCAAAAGGGGAGAAACACAAGTAGATATTGATTCAAAATAAGATAGAACGGGTGGAGAATGTGTTAGCTCTAGGCGAGACAAGTTGAAATTAATACACATGTCCCGCCCCACGTTACTACGAGTTTGGTAATATTAACTCCAAACAAGTTGGAGAGGTTGGGTTACACGATTCGTTTTTTTTTTTTGTCAAAAGATATCATGTATTGATAGAAAAAATAGACAGTTACACCCTGGAAACCAGCCAGGTATGGAAATCAAAGAAGCGACTCATAGTCGGATACAAAGAGAGGGCTTTCCTAGCTACCAAATGAGCTACCCTATTGTTCTCCCGACCTACAAAACGCACACTAAAGCCAGGCTGAGTACGAAAATAATGTCTAATCTCTTCCAGAATAGCACCCAACCGACTATCTCTTGTGTCGGCTTGATTAATTTAGTCAATAATCACCTTCGCATCGCCCTCAAATCGAACCTCCGACAAGCCTTGCTCCACACACCAAATAATAGCTTCCTTGAGCACAAGCAACTCCACCACTGCAGGATCATCCATTTGAGAAAACTGGACCCCTCTAGCCAGAAGGAGTGTCCGCGCTGGGTCAAAAAGAACCATCCCAATCAGCCGAATGCGACCCACCCTTAGTAGCCCCGTCCCACATGCAAACCAAACGGGAATCACCCACTTGTGTTGTCGGTTGCATCATCGGGATTTGCACCCTAGGCGCCTGGTCCGCTGGTAGACCCACCCATTCCAAAAACTGCTGGTTAAATTGTCGCATGAGCGCCGAGATCCCAAATTGTTTGCCTTCAAAGACTACCCAATTTCGAGATCTCCAGATCCTCCAAAGGACGGCAACAACAGCCATAACCATTTCCGGCTGATGAATCAACGCCAACAGGCGTTTGAGAAACAAAGGAAAAGTATGCCGAGGCAAACCCTCCCCCAAGTATTCCAGCCCAGAATAATCCCAGAGAGCCAGCGCAACCGGACAATAGAGGAACAGGTCTTCCATTGTCTCCGGGCCATCCCAACAAACTGGACACCGAGGTAGCACCTAGACCTTTTTCTCAATAAGCGCATCTGTAGTCGGCAGAGCCCGATTAAGAATTTGCCAAACAAAAACCTTCAACTTCGGAGGGATCTTCGCCTCTGTAGAGGTAAACAAGACTGAGAATGGACTGGATGTGTGCCAAAGGAAATATTGTATTGATCTACTGAAAGACACAGGGTATCTGGAATCCAAGGGGTGTAAGACTCCTATAGATACTAAAGTGAAACTGTCATCTCAGGGCACATTACTGGAAGATGCAGAAAGCTACAGATGATTGGTGGGAAGGCTGCATTATTTAACCATTACCAGACCTGACATAGCCTTTGCTGTTCAGCACCTATGTCAGTACCAAAAGTCTCCTTGTGCAGAGCATATGCAAGCTGCTTACAGGGTCCTCAGGTACTTAAAGTCATCACCTGACCAGGGTATTCATTTTAGTAATGAAGCTGAGTTGAAGTTGACTGGTTACAGCGACTCAAATTGGGCAAGTTACCTTGATACTAGAAGATCCATTACTGGATATTGCACCATGCTTGGTTCTTCCTTGGTAACTTGGAAAACGAAGAAACAAACCACTGTCTCAAGATCTTCCTCTGAGGTAGAATATGGAGCACTGGCTCATCTTGTTTGTGAAGTGGAATGGTTGAAGAGGTTGCTGAATGAATTGACAGTGGAGGTACCCCTACCTATAATGGTTCATTGTGACAATCGATATGCTATACACGTAGCAGAAAACCCTGTTTTCCATGAGAGGACAAAGAACATTGAAATCGATATACATGTGACAAGGGAGAGGATCAAGATTGGTTTGATTGCTTTGAAGTAAATTAACACGGCTGAGCAACTTGCAGATATATTCACCAAGGGGCTGGATCGTTTTAGGCTAAGAGAGTTAGTTGTCAAGTTGGGGATCAAGATAATACCACCAACTTAAGGGGGGTGACAGAATTGAAGGGTTGCAGGAGTAAGAAAGAAGAGTTGTGTGTTGCAGAAGAAGAAATCCAGATTGGGGAAGGATTCGCTGAATGTTTTAAAAGAAGAAAGGAAAACGACATCGCATTGAATAAGTTGGAAGAATAGAGAAAATGACGGCGTTTGTTCTTTCATTTCTTATTAGCCGTTAAGTTACTGTTTTACTTTAATTTGGACGAATGTTGTAAGGCCAACTGGCTTGTTTTGGTTAATCAATTTCCAGCTATAAAAGCTGAAGGAAGACTCAGAGTGAGCTGAGCTTCTTCTCCAAATCCTCATTTTCATTTCGTTAAGGGCGGGCTCGAAGAGCGACGGGAACGATACAGAGGGAGGGTATCCTTCCTTTGGCTACAGTCTCCGGATCGTCTTGAACGTTGACGGCACAGTACCTCGACCGAGACAGAGGGCCGCTCGGACCGAGGGATTGGTCTTTTTGTTTCTGAGAATGAACATAAGGAGGAATAAGGTGGTTTACTGACAGCGTAAGGTTCATACTCGAGTTTGGATCGGCGACGATGAAGTTCGTTGGAGAAGGAGCGCGAAATCGAGGAAGACGAACCTCTGGTTTGCCTTTTCCTTCGATTTTTCTGTTGGGGGAAAAACAAAAATGCAGTTAAAATAAATTAATTTTAACTGAATTGATTGAAAAAAGTGCAAAATGGTTGTTAGTCTTTTCCGTTCGTTTAGTAACCTATCAATTAGGTCTGTTCTCATGGGCCACTAGGTTGAACAAGTGTTAATTACACCCAACCAATGCCACATCAGTTCCACTTGGACCAATGAAATTCTGCATCACCGGTGACGCACTTTTAATAGCGGCACCATAGTATTGGCCATGTTTTTTGTTGTTGTTTTGTTTTGGGCTGTACTTTCTGGTGGACAAGACTTCTATCCTTCCTGGACCGTGGTCCAAATTCTGTATCACTTTTCTATTCGCAATGAAATCAGGTTTCGTAAAAAAAAATTGATAAAAGAAAATTGCAATTGATAATTCATGTTATGAACCTAAAATTTAAGGTAATTTTATTAAATAATAATTCAAGCTTTAAAAAGTGTCGAAATTGGTTAATATGTATTAGATAATTTGATAATTGTGGCACTGCATTATATTTTTTACAAAAGCTTTGTTCGCAGATGGTCATGGGCTCATGGCTGTGATTAAAAAAAGGGCTGTAGACGGTCAAAATTAAAGGCCAATGCTACGATGTTGCCGTAAAAAAGCACCGGTGACGCTATTTTTAATTGGACCACGTAAGCAGTGATATGGAATGGACTGTGATGTGGCCTGGGCTGAGTTTATGGAACTCCAACCTAAACCCGATAGCCATAAGAACTGGCCCAAACCGTATTCTGGCCAAAGTGATGGAGAATTTCGTCTTTCTTTTCTGTTAATTAATGAATTTAACATTAAATAGAAATTCTATTTCATTTTTATTTCTCCATGAACTAACAATCAAACAAAATCACAACCGAAAAAACGTCTTCTTCTTGGCTCCCTTGTACTGGCTGACTGACAGCATTAAACAAGAAGCGAGCTTCCCAGAAAATGAATATCAAATGTCATTCAGTTGCTCAACTACTTTTTCTTATGAATAACAAGAAGCCCTTGATTAGAAATTTCTTGATGTTCCATCAGAATTTGATAAGTTAGGTGCCATAAATTTCCCAGATGCTATTAATAAAAGGATTTCAAGAAGAAAACAAATGCGGGTCACAAACTCAAGCTCTACTGATGCATCTGACATACTAGATCAACCAGAACTGAAAGAGCCGAATAATGGAACAGATCATTCGTGCAACCCAAAACCCCAAGATTGTTATCTGTAAGCTTCACTGATTGCAAAATTGTCAGATGAAAATTGGGAGTTATCAACCTTGCAATACATTCCCCTTCTTCCAAGTGGTTGGCAGCAAAACTTGAAAGAAAACCTTCGCTACATATCATCATGGAATTAAAGCGCTTGCAAACCGATTTCAGAGATAAGGCATCACCTATCGTAGGAATTCATCGGAGAACTTCCACTAACAGATCATCCGCAAGTTTTAGCAGCTTACACTCCATGGTTTCCTCCTCTCAGTCTCTCTGACCTTCGCGCTCAATCATCTTTCTTAAACGAAATGCTCCGTGCGACTCTGAATCTCCAACATTCGTGCTAGGTCCCCTTCGTTGAATTGATGCGTGAAAGGATTTGGGTGGTTGATGTCACACCGAAGAGAACAGGAACAAGAAGAGGGAAGCCATGAAAGCAAGAAAGAAAGAAGAAGAAGGCGATAGTGAGTAAGAGCGGATAACGATGTAATTGCACATATTTGCGCCCCTAGTTCTTATCCGTTTGAGGGGCATAGTCGTGTATTTTTGGCCTATTTTGGGTTGTGCTACTTTGTCATATTTCAGGTCCCAGGCGTCAAAGGAAAGGCTAAGCACGAGTTTCGGGGCATTCAGAAGTCATTCGGTGGAGCTGGAGCCAAAACACAGGCACACCTAAAACAGAACACGGCCGTGTTCCTAGGTCGTGCTTTTACTGCCGAGAGCTGATTTGAGTTTGGCAAACTCGAGCTGAAAACACGGGCAGGGATAGAAAAAGCACGGCCGTGTCCACCAAAGCACGGCCGTGTACACCCAAAAGCACGGTCGTGTACACCCAAAAGCACGGTCGTGTTTCTCCCAACAGGCTGGCCGTGTAATTAACCCTAGCCAAAGCACGGGCGGGCTGGAGCAAAGCACGGCCGTGCCCTTGACCGTGCTTTGCCCAGTGATGCCTTTTTAAGCAGATTTCAGCCAAAAGAGAAGGGGATTTGAGTTTTAGAGAGACAGAGCGATTCCTAGAGAGAGAAAAAGCGACGAACAAGAGTCTCCAAGTGCCCTAGCTTGATCTTCATCACCATTGGAGGCCAGCTTGAGCTTGGAGAAGTGCCGATCAACGTCCAGGAGCAGGAATCCATCCTTCACGGTATGAATTCCGCGTCTGATTCTGCTTTTGCTTCTTTCTCCATGGAGTAGTTCTCCCATTCATCTGGGTATGGGGAACCCTAGATTTGTATGTTAGGTTTGATTGTGTGAACCCAAGTACTGATTCTATGATTTGATTATATTCAATTGAGGTTTGAATGATTGAATGGCATGAATCTTGATCAAATTCCTGTTGTTTCTGCTTTAACCTAGAATGAGAATATCTGCCTAGGTTGATAGAGCATCCTTGATTGAAGTTAGGGAGTTGGTGACTTTAGTCGAGGAGCCAACTCACTATTCTGTACCGAATTCACTTCGGTAGTGGAGGTTTTGTTGTTAGGGCCTCAATCTGTTTACTCCGGTGGAGGTTAGTCGCCCGCTAGAGACTCAGATTGAGAGGGTCTGAAGACCTTTAGTCGAGACTTCAGGCTGTTTAAGAACCTTCCGCAGTATAACTATCATAGAAACTGAACTTGGTAATTGCAATCCGGCTTAACTGCAGTCTAGGGGGAACCATATCCGGGTGACCTCTCTTAACCTGAAAACAACAGTTTACTTGCTTTGGTTGTTTGTTAGTTTAGACTTGCATTAAAGTTTCATTGCTAGATAACGAGAATTCATCGAGTAGTCATCAAATCTAGGACCCGGGTTGACATTAAAACCCAAACCCGCTATACTACGCTTTAGGAAGTGGTTTCACTTGGCCAATTCCTAGAGTGACAGTAGAAGTGAGTCAGAGGGGGTGAGGGAAATTCTTTCGCTGAGGTTGAATTAGGGCCAGATGCATGTCTTCAGGTTTTTACTAGGCCGATTTGAATAAGATCCCAATAAAATATGTTGCATGCAGTGGGGTCCGGTCCATTTTTAATTTTGGCCAATACTATCGTGCCGCTGTAAAAAGTGCGGCACTGGTGCCGCAGTTTCTGATTGGACCACGTGTATGGTAATGTGACATAGGCCGGTCATGTTTATTTCAAGGCCGAACCGGATCTTTCGTTACCCAAATCGAAACTACCCAAACGGACGGAATTATTTTTGTCTTCTGCGTTTTCTAGTTTGGGTTAGGCAAAATACACTTTCGTAGCCATAACTTTCACGTTTGTGACAATAATAGCCATTTTTGGAGAAATACCAGATATAACCACATTTTTAAAACTTGTTGGACTAATTTAGCCATTTCCGTCAAATACTTTAACACCGTCAACTATTCCGTCAGTTAAATGAACGTTAAGCTGATATAGCTGCCACCTAGACGACACATCATGTCTCCCATACCACATGTCAACCACATCACATTTTAAATTAAAGAATACTTTATATATGTCAAATACCATTTTTAAAGATATCTTCTTCTCGCGACAAGAACCTGGATGCTTCCGACTTTCTCTGCTTTGTCGTCGCCGTCAATTCATCACAATACCTAGAACCCGGCGAGGAAGTCCAGTCTTCGCCCTCTCTCTTTTCCAAAATCCCCTTGTTTCTCACCATCGTCATAGTCAAAAGACAAACAACCCCACGGCCAAAAGTCACTTCCACTTCCTCCGTCGGACACGCCCCCCAATGCATGCCTTTGCGAGACCCAGCAGCGAAATCCAAATCTGGAAACACAGAACAAATTTCCTGTCGACTATGGTGTCTGCACTATAATCTCGCCGCATCGAAATCCTCAGAAGAGTTCTTCTTTATCTTGGAAAGCAGATCTAGACGGCACGACGGAAGGGGTGGGCGGCGATGACGATTGAAGAGGATTTGAAGTAGGGATTGAAGAAGAGGATTGGCCACAACGATTTGCACCCGACACAGCCTGCTTCTCCATCTCCGCTTCTTGATTGTTGGCTTGTTGTTGATGACGTGGTGATAGAAGACGATGATTTGTAGAGCGGTCTCCAATTGATTTCCCGTCCACATAAAGAGCATCGACGCGGTGGAGAGTTTTGGCTGGGGATTTATTTAGTGGTTACTGGTTAGATAGGATCCACGATGACCATGGACTTATTCAGAAGGTGAGAAGAATGGTATGGCTTTGAAAGAGAGAAGAAGAGTACTTTGGGAGTTGAGAAGGATTTGGAATTTTTTGACGATGATGGGGCAGTGCGGAATGGGAATGGCGGAGGAGGGGAGGTGGCAATTTCGCTATGGTGCACATAGTCTTTTTTGTGTGTATATGCACACAAAGCCCTCATTGGTCCACCTCAGCAAAAGGACTACCCACTTAAAAATGAGTGGCCAGGAAACAACGATTGGAGGAAGGGAGAAAGAAGGGGAGGGAGCAGCTCAAAACGAAGCTGGCTAAACTAAATGGTGGGTGGGGTCCACAACATGAGAGATTAAAAATTAAAAATAAAACTCTAAAAATAATCTCCCTCTCCTTTTCTCTTTCTCCAACCTGTCAACTTTTTTCTTTCTTTCAAATCTCTTCTCCTTTTTTCTCCGACACTCTTTCTCTCACAACCTTCTTCCTCATCTTTTTTCTCTCTCTCAACAATCTGCCATTGAAGAGAAGAAGAAGAATACCAAAATTTCTTTTTTTCAAATCTCTTTTTTCTTTTTTTTTTCTTTGAAACTTCTTCTCTCACAACCTTCTTCCTCATCTTTTTTTCTTTCTCCACAATCTGCCATTGAAAAAAAAAAAGAAGACTACCAGAGCTTCCAGATCTGGATTTCAAAGAGAAGAAGAAAAATAGCAAAGCAGTTTTTTTTCACCCACTCTCTTCATCATTTTTCTCTGAAAAATCCTTCTCATTTCTCTTATTCTTCAACTCATTGAGCGATCTAACCAGCTTACATGGCTGTTACAAATTTCGACACAGAGAAGCAAATGACTGTTTACAATGACGAGCAGAAGAAAATTTCAAATCAGTTCACATGAGACCTCCAAAACAGGTCCTCCAAAACCTAGATCTGGTTCCTCCACGCATCACCTCCACCACCAGATCCTCATCTTGTGCACCTGTCCCGTACCAGCTCCACGCCATGAAAAATCTTCCGTGCCACGCTGGGTTGTTTGATTAAGTTTGGACCTAGCCCTGCCCGTTTGTTGGAACCTGTGGTTGGTCTTGTGCTGCTTGAATATGAGTTGGACAGTCACTAAATTTAAGTTTGCATGGTACTGAATATGACCTAAATGACAAGGAATGTGAGTGAACTAGTATTCAATATGAGTTGAATTTGTCACTAAATTTAAGTTTACATGGTATCGAATATGATTTAAATTGACAAGAATATGACTTCACCTATTATTGAATATAAGTTGAATAGCCAATGAGTTTAAGTTTACATGGTTTTGAATATGACATAAATTGATGATTAATATGAGTTTAGCTCACGTCAAATTGAGTTTACTTGGTAGTGAATATGAGTTGAACTAAACTCAGAACATGCATTTACAAATATCTAATAGGTGGCATACCCATATTAGTTAAAAGTTGAAACATAAAAGAAGAGTATTGAATGAGTTCCAACAGGTATTCTCATATTTAGTGTTAACTGAAAATTATTCAAATTCTCATATTCGATACTCGTTCAACTCATATTCATATAAATGTCAACGCATATTGTGTACTATGTAAACCAGTATTCAACACTATTACTAATAGTAAACAAAGTACATAAAGATCCTTTTCGCTTTGTCCGTTAGTAATATTCGTTTGTGTCTGGAGTATTTGTTCGTCTATCTGTCGAATACTTGTTGATATGTTTTGAATAGTAGTTAATATGTTTTTCAATAGTTCATATGCTTTTCAATAATAGATTGCGTAACAATGTTTCATGTTTAAGCCCAACATAATTCATCATTCTATTCGAACTAATATTCATCATTGTGTAACAATACTAGTTTCTTATTCGAACTAGTATTTTGTATGTTTTAAGTAATATTCATCATTTATATAAACTAGTATTCATCGTTAAGAAACCAGTACTTGTGTAAACTCAATTCAAAACCATTTTCAACTCATATTCACTACAAATGAGTCATTATGTACTGGTTGAACTCATATTAGTGAAGATGTCAACACAAGAATACCTATTTCTATAATATATATATAAACTAAGAATACCTACTATTTCAATTTGTACAAGTACAATTCATATTTATCCAAATATTGAACATGCTTAGTAATCCTAACCCTCGTCATTTCAACCCCAATGGCAGATTGTGGAGAGAAAAAAAGATGTGGAAGAAGGTTGTGAGAGAAGAAGTTTTAGAGAAAAAAGAGAAAAGAGATTTGAAAGAAAGTTTTGGAATTCTTTTTCTTCTCTTCAATGGCATATAGTGCAGAGAGAAAAAAAGACGAGGAAGAAAGTTGCGTGAGAAAGAGTTCCAAAGAAAAAAAGAGAAAAGAGAATTGAAAGAAAGAAGTTTTGGTATTCTTCTTATTCTCTTCAATGACATATTGTGGAGAGAGAGAAAAAAGATGAGGAAGAAGCTTGTGAGAGAAAGCGTTTCAGAGAAAAAAAGGAGAAGAGATTTGAAAGAAAAAAAGAAAGTTGTCAGGTTGAAGAAAGAGAAAATGAGAGGGGGATTATTTTTAGAGTTTTAATTATTAATCTCTTATCTTGTGGACCCTATCCACCATTTAGCTTAGCCGACTTCGTTTTGAGCCGCTCCCTCCTCTTCTTTCCCCCTTCCTCCAGCCATTGCTTCCTGACCACTCATTTTTAAGTGGGTAGTCCTTTTGCTGAGTGGACCAATGAGGGTTTTGTGTGCACATACACACAAAAAAGGCTATGTGCAGTTGTGCACCATATCGAAATTGGGGGAGGTGGAGGGGTTTGGAACGTTCCTTTCCTTTTTTTTTATTAAATTAAATTTTCATTTATGGACATTAATCTATATGGCCGGATGTGGCATTGTCGTTAAAGAAACCTCGCCAAGTCAGCATTTTTGTTAGTCCAATCAGACTGTTAGATAACACCGTTAAAGTATTGGACGGAAGTGGCTATATTTGGTATTTTTTCAAAAGTGGCTATTATTATCACAAACGCGAAAGTTATGGCTATGGAAGTGTATTTTGCCTTTGGTTATTTTCCCTCTCAATTTGAGATAACGAAACAAAAAGGGGAAGCAGCTCGTCGTCGATCTCCCTCTCCAGCGAAATCTCCAGAAGGAATGCGGCGACTCCTCCACTGTCGATTCAATCTCAAGATCTACAAAACGGCTCCAGTGAAATCATTGTTTATTCCTCCTTTATTTATTCTGTAAAATGATGGAAACGAATCCCACGTCATCAGCTTCCCTCTGCAAGGTCCAGGAAGAGGATTTTAAGAACCAACAATCCAGGTATATCGACGCTTCGGCTGAATCCAACGACCCATATGTAAGTCCTAACTCCTTTGACTACGAGACCTCTAGGGATGATTTGTTTGGGGAGATTGAAGTAGCTATTGCCCTGATAAGGGAAGAATTCATTAAGAAGGGAATAGTCAAACCGAACCCTAAGAAAGAATCTGTAGCAGGGAAAAACGGAAATGTTGTCAATGCAATTGAAGATCTGGAGCCAGAAGAAGTGGTGGACGTGGAAGAGATTGAAGACGGCAAGGTTTAATTGTGGATGCTGATTCTGATGGGGATGATGCCACTAGGATTTGAAAAGGGAATTAATGAACGTGGTGGTAAATCCGATACTAGTGTGTAAAACCTGGGTGTAGATAGTAATGTTGTTTTGCTTTCTTTAGCTGCTGCCTTTTATAGGTATCCCTTGAAAATGTGGTTGTGATTGGCATAACTGGGACAAATGGGAGGACAACCACTTCACGTTCCATTAAAGCAATGTGCAATGCAATGGGGTTCAGAACTGGATGTTGAGTACAGTTGCTTATTATTTACATGGCGATACCAAATTGGAATCTCCCGACACATCTCCAAATTCTGTGGTGGTTCAGGACTTGATGGCTAAGATGTATCATAATGGGGGAGAAGTTGTAGTGATGGAGGCATCTTCTTATGGGACAGAGGGGGATGAAAATTACTTCAATATAGAAACTGTCAGGTCATACTTTTGTACTTCAACCCAGCTTCTCTACTTGGCATTAGCATGATTGCATGGTGTTGTGTGCCGAGAATCATCAAAATAGCTGCTGGAAATTGTTTTAGCAAGCTCGTCTTTATCGAGAATGTCGGCTTGAGCAATGTAAACATCGGTGGGAATTCAATGCCCCGAAAACCTAAGGGTTCCTCTGCGAGGTTCAATTACGGAGGGTGAGACAGGACCTAAGATCACGAACTTCTTAATATCTCCAGAAATAGGAACAAGGAGAAGCGAGAACCACTTAAATAGAGGAATCGATTGTATTTCATCCTTGATTGCCCACAGCAACTGGGGGTCAAAAAACACCAAATTTGATGACTAACTCTTCCCGAAGCAGTTCACAATGTTTGACACTTTCCATCCTTCTATGGCGATATTATGTTAACTGTTCGTGCAAATACTACCCATTTTTTCAAATTCAATCATGAGTGGGATTTTATGAATCGGTTATGTTATATTATAAAAAATGGATTGTCGACGACAATCTTTGTCAGTTGGATAGTTATTTACATCTTCCCGAGCTAACACCTATACCCGGACCAATGCAGTCAAAATCGCGCTTTAAAACTTAAAAACTTACGATTTTACGCTTTTAGGTCACCAAAACGCTTTCGTTTCCATATAAAAACTTAAGTGTATAAAATCGGACTAAATTGCGTTTTAAAGCTTAAAAGCTTACGCTTTTACGCTTTTAGTTCACCAAAACGCTTTACGTTTTTACGACTTTAGTTGACTAAATGAGTATTCCCTTCAGGAAATAAATTATAAAAAGTATATTTAAAATTAAATCACCAACAATATGATACATTTTAGATTAAAAGATACATACCAGGTACTTGGATGCATTCTCAACTTCAATAGAGTAATCTAATTCACCAGCTAGGCTCTTCCAAATTCATTAGCATAGAGGGAAAATTTGTTTATTGTTAAAATTTATGTTTACGAACTTATTATTAAGATGTTATAAGTTGCTCTACTTTAGACATGGATTGCATGTATTTATTAACTTATCTAAATTTTGTGCATTCATATTTTACAAAGTATATGTCCTACTTAATAGATTTTTAGTAATTTTTCAGTATGCGTAAAAAACTTACGGTTTTACGCTTTGATTCTACGCTTTACGATTTTATCCCTTTTCCGCTTCTAGGTAGAATCGCGCTTTTGACTGCATTGACCCGGACTAAAACCAACAAACCAATACCACAGAAATCTCTGCAAAACATGTTCCTGAATCACAACCTGTACTTCCGTTTTAATCAGTTTAACTTTAACCAATCTATCAATCTCCATGGAGTCTCCAACATATGTCCTTCAGCAACGTTCTCGCCAAAGGTTACTCAATAGTCAGAACCAAATCAGTGTTCCTGCTTCAGTAGTGGGAGATGACCCTTTAAATGTCTGAAGTGCCCAGTCCAGCTCCTGCCTCCATGAAGAACCAAAGGGACGATAGAAAACCTTGTCAGTCAGCTTTGTAAATAGTTCTCGATACACAGGACAACCTGCAAGAAGATTATCCATAGATTCCATCCCATGATCACAAAAAACACAGTTAGGAGGACCAGAATATCCCCATGACAACATCTTTTCACGGGTTTGAATCCTTTCTCTACCATAAATCTATTTCTAGCGAGCCAATCCCTTCGCAAATCCATGCTGCCCATGGAACCCTCCACTCAGACCTGATCCCCACGAATTCAATAATCGGTTCAAGTCTCTTTTCGATGGCTCTTTTGGGTTCAAAGAGAACCTCTCTCCCTTCTGCAATGTCAGCAGCCCATCTAGCCTCTTCCCTTATTGCTGCAGCAAAGGCTGGCTTCATCATGGAACCATTTTGCTTCAATCTCATTCACATCTACCTGCTGGTTTCTCAATTACCAAGGCGAATTGAAACTTGCCTAGATTGGATTATGAGGTATACCACCACACAAAGCTCTTCACCCAGGGAGAGGCAGGGGCTAGAGTTGAGAGTATATTGCACTGCAGAACGAAAATAATCGATGTATGAGCAAGACCCCTGATCTCTATCTATATCCATCCACAATCAACAGAGAATTCGAAACTTTCTCTGATAATCCCATGTAACAAAAATAGATATGCGATTGAAAGGTTCTACAGATTAGAACAGCGAAAAGGAAGAACAAAACGACGGGAAATTGAAATAGCTAGCAGTAGCATATCATCCGTTCCTCTCAGCTAGTGATGACAATTTCAACCCGCCCCGCGGGTATTATCCAATCTGACCTGCAATGGGGTGGGTATTACCCGACCCGCAGTAGTGTGGGGCGGGACATGGGTATCTACTTTCAACCCGCCCTGCTCCGCCCCGTTTTTTACTCATTTTATTTCAATTTCTTACAATATCTATATATTTCTCCTATTTTGACTTTTCTTCAACTAGTTAGAGTCAATCTTTCAACTTGTAAGGCTCAATTATCCATTCTATTATCAATATTTTTCATTCTTAAAGTGTTTTTCCCTACATTTTATTGTAAAAAGTAAAATTTACTTGTATTTTTTTTTAACAACATGTAAGAGTATAGGTGTCAAAGTGAACCCGTCGGGTTGAAGCGGGTTGCACTTTTTGGTCTTTTCCCATTTTAGCTCTGACACCAATAGTTCTACGGTTCCAATTTCCTAAGTTTCTGTGTTTCATATCTTGTTTTTTGAGAAGTCTCAATCGTCTCTTTATTTTAAAAAGCCTACTAAAGAGTCTAATCATTCTTTCTTTTCCTTGTTTTATGCAACAAGTCTCATTCTTTCTTTTTCTTTCATGGAATGGCCCAAATAAAAGTGGTTAATTTTCATTTTGTTGTTTTTGGTTTATCTATTTTCTAGTTTCTGCTTTATTTTGTTTAGACTAGTTATTATATCGGTAATTAATTCAGTTTTAGATACAGCTTCCTCTAATGTTTCTGAATTTCCGATAGACATTTGTTCTTCTACAATATCTGATACGAAGTGAGATAATTCTAACGTAACCGTATTAATGTCGCGGGTGTGCCTACGGTGACATGCATGTCACAGTGACTTGCACTTTCCGGTCGACCTCAGCTAGGATTAGGTCGACCTCATTTAGAATTCGGTCGACCTCATATAGGATCCGGTCGACCTCATTTAGGATTCGGTCGACCTCATATAGGATCCGGTCGACCTAATCTGTTGTTTCAGTGTAAAAACAGTTCACGGTGCTTACTTTGGATATTCATATCATACAATTGGCTAGATGGAAATTGAAGACTAATGACTTGTTTTGAAGCTGGAGTGTCCCTCTACATATTGAAGTGATTGATAGCTCGATAGGAAGTCCAGAAGACCATTTTTGAACCTCATCAAAAGGCTATGCCAAAACTGGGAAACTGCCTAGAAATGGCTAAGTCTGGAAACGTGTTTGTGAAGTCTATTTTTGAGCTCAATTCGAGAAGCATGAATGCGAGTCGAGTCCAGGAGCCTCTACCACGTTAAATTAGGTATGTTTTTATACAAATTCAAGGAATTGGATAAATGATTGGATATCTTTAAGGCTTCAAACAAAAGGGTCGAAGTTGCTAAGAAGGCTGTTTTTCTGGCAGACTTTGAGCACAAGCAAGCTGCCAGAAAAACAGCCTTCGTAGCAACTTCGAGCCTTTTGTTTGAAGCCTTAAAGATATTGAATCTTTCATCCAATGCCTTGCCTTTGTATAAAAAAATACGTAATTTAACGTGGTAGAGGCCCCTGGACTTGAATCGCATCCATGATTCTCAAATTGAGCTCCAAAGTAGGCTTGACAAACACGTTGCCAGACTTAGCCATTTTCAGGAAGTTTCCCAATTTTGGCATAGCCTTTTGGTCAGATTCAAAAAAGGTCTTCTGGACTTTCTATTGAGCTCCCAAGTACTTTAATGTGTCGATGGACACTTCAGCTTCAAAACAAGCCTTTAATCTCTAATTTCCATCTAGCCAATTGTAAGATATGAATCTCCAAAGTAGGCACCATGAAACTGTTTTTACACTGAAACAACTGATTAGGTCGACCTGATCCTATATGAGGTCGACCGAAAAGTGCATGTCACTGTAGCAAAGTCCTAATGTCGCCTACTGATGTAAGGTCTATTGCATCTATTCCTTCTATCAATTTATTTATGTAATGAGTGTTAGGCATCTTTACAATTTTTCACTCATTTCTACGATTAGTTCTTGTAACTTTTTTATTTCACTAGTATTATCATTTTGATGAAGTATAGTTATGTTTTTTATTTCCTTGTTTTCTTCTTTCTCCATTTCCTTCTGCTTATCGGTTAATCTCATGGAAGAACTTCTCTCATCTATACTTATTCTTGGATGATCATAATTTGATTTTATTATTTTTAGAGGGGATTCTAATTGAATTAATGGTTTGAATAAATCTTCTATGGTGATGGCTTCCTTATCTTTAAACGCTAGACTATGATGACTATTGGTCAGTGCATAGTTTATTTGGTATGTTACCGAAAAAGGTTTACTGTTTTCTTTCATGAAATTTTTTCTTTTCAATTCATACTTTATAATAATGGAAGAGTCGAGATTCCCATCTGTTAAACTAATTCCTTGTTGTAGATTAATATCGAATTTGATTATTCCTACTCCTAGATTTCCTTTTCCTTTTGCAATAATACTCTCTTCTCTATTGATGAGTCGATCATCTCTTATTTCTAGTTCTATAGGTGCACTTATCCCTGTTTTCATAGTAGATTTTAGAATGATTTGTATCGTGCTAATGTGAATATAAGCTATTTTATTTCTTTCTTCCTGTTGTAACTTGGATAATTTTTTCCTAATTTTTCCCCTATTTATTATTTGAATTAGGAAATCTCCCTTAGTTTGTTCTATTGGTACTTCCGTTTCTCCTATCATTTTTCCATATTTAATTATATTTTTTCTATCAAATAGTTTGGATAAAAAAGACTTAGTAATAAAATTTTGCGTTTCTGATAAGGTAAAATTAGTTTCTTCCTTAATTTTCTTGACATTTAATATTCCATCTAGAAAATAATTTTCTTCCTCATTTTTACTTAAATAATCAAAGTGACTGTTACTGCTACTGGGGTTATCCGACATACCTGATCGTTGCTTAGGTTGATTGATGCAACTCCTTGCTACTGAACGTCCCCATGATGGTGTGGTGCGAGGGAGGCTGATTGCTTATGATTGTTGAAAATGGTGTTGGAGAATTCTTTGTGGTGTTAATTGTTGGTGTATAGTTTTTTATGGATAGGTGGTAGCAGATATGAGCGTCTCCAGAGTATTATCTCAAACGCTCTGTGCCGAAGCACCAAGACTACACTTAGTCTTTTGAGAGAGAAGTCTCCAGCTTTTATTCTACTCTGCCTCCTTATGAGGTTCAGATGTACATATTTATAGATGCAGGAGCGTTGCCTGCTTACATATGTACTTACATCATTCTCCACTTAGGAAGAGAAAAACAAACACACGTTATGGACCACATTATTGATCAAAAGAGAAAAACAGACACACTTCTTTAGTCTTTTTCTTTTTGATGTGTCATCCTTGTCATCTTCTCCTTTAGTTATTTTCTTCTTTTACTTTGCCTTTGCCTGATGCATAATGCATTGTCTTCTTTTCTTTAGTTGATGTTGCCTTTTGATTCTTGATGCTTTGTCTTCTTGTCCTTGGTGTATTACATTTCTTTGATTCCATTACTGCTATTAGTGGAGGTAGTCATATCTGCTGCACAGTGGGTGCATATGTGATCCTCGTGTAGCTGCAATAATTCACAAAGTTGCTGTTTTTGTTTCGACGTTAGTGGGGCTAACGTCCCTTCTAGATTGATAAAATCCTTGGCTAGATCTGTGATGAATCCCCATTCTTCTGCTGTGATCTGGTTTTTAGAATTGCTGATGATGATCTTGTTGGTGCTGGTATAATTGACTTTAATATTATCTGTTGGGTTAAGATAATATAGGGCCTGACTTACTGAATATAATGATTTGACTTGATAGTCTTCTGGTATCCTGGCTGTCTCTAATTCATCTCTGGTTGGATAGTTGCCATTAGATACTCCCATTTTGATGATTGCTTTTGATGGCACGACCATTTCTTCCTTGTTGAATACCGGATAGCTGGATGTGTATCGCAGATAGATTTCTCTACCCTTGGCGAATGAGTCTAGATACCTTTTTACGACTGTCTTGAACTTTGTTGAGAATTCTTCGAAGATATAAGTCTTCTGTGTGTATATTGTGTCGATTAATCCATATTGATGGAGAGCAAATAGTGTTGTTGGTGCGATTTTATCTGTGATGATGACTGCTCTTGGTCCTCCCTTAAAGGTTGGATAGAAGCCCATGGTAGTATGAATTTCCTTGTAACTGAGAAGATCTTCCCAGCATTGTTGGAATTTTTGAAGTGTAGGTCTATTGATTTCTTCCCTTTGCTTCGTGGTTGGAATATCCTTAATGCTGATACTTGGTATCTTCATCACTAATTTTTGTTGTGGAGTGGCTGACTCTGTCTTCTGTTTCATAGCAATTGCCTTGTATGATTCTCTTAATGCATGTTCTGCTTCTTCTTTGGTTGAAAATGATTGGTGTTTGATGTTTTATCCCGTAACATGGTGAGATACTATTGTCCAGTTGTTATAGAGTCCTCGAAAAGGTCCGTCGTAAATGACATACTATTTTCCTTTCTTTGATTTTCTTTCGTCTTTTTTGTTTTTCTCGTCTTCTTCTACCATGTCTGACCATTTTGTAAATGATGGTATGTCCTTTTCTGGTTGTGTATTTTTTTCCTGTAAATGGTAGCTGAATAGTTTGCTAATGCATAACATTTTGTGGTTGAGTAGTGCTTTACAGAATGGTGATGGTAGTCCTTATCTGCTCTAATTCCCCCCGCCGCTGAGAAAGCTGGACTTCGAGGGCACGTATCTGCTCTTCCTTCTGCTGTTGCTGATACTGCATTTGCTTGATTATCCCTTCCATTCTCGTGCAAGAGTGTCTGCTAGTGGATTGGCTGTTGATTTGATATACTTCAGATATGGCCGATAATAGTGAAGTTGTTGTTGCCAGCGAATAAGGCTTCCTTTATTGAAGTCCGCATCCAATTTGTATCTCCAAAAACCTGTAACATATTTAGAGTCGGTTCGTAATTCGAATCGACTGGTCAGTAATTCTAGTTTCCATTTTTTCAGTGTTCTGAGACAGGCTAGTGTCTCTAGCTCATGTATTGGGTAGTTTCTCTCAGTGGAAGAGAATGTTCAAGATATATATTTACATAACTTCTTTGTATATTTGTCTACATTGAATGGTATTGTATAGTCATATTGTTTTGAATCATTCGATTCATTACTGCATCGAGATAGTGGTGAATCGTTCGATTCATTACTGATATAGGGTGAATCATTTGATTCATTGCTAATTATATTGCCATAGTGATCAAGTGATAGTAATTTTTTGCCTTCTGGTATTGCAAGCATGCAACCTGCCCATGTATCCCTTGATGCATCTGTCTCGACAATAAGAAAATCTCGATCGCATGGGTTATATAATTTTGGTAAATGATCACAACTGGCTTTCATAAATCTTACCACCTCTGTGTCCTTATCATCTCATTTCCAAGGTATTTTATCTGATATTTTTTGCTGAAGATATTTTCTTTCCTTTGCTAGATTTTTTAGAAATCCCTGTTCACTGATATAATTCAGACTTCCTAGAAATCGTTGTATTTGTTTTCTATTTTCCATTTTATCTGAAAATTTATCTAATTTTTCCTTAACATTAGTGGTTAGTTCTATTTCTCCTGTACTATTTATTTTCATTCCCAAATACTCAATTTCATTGACTAACAATTTAGATTTCTTTTTTGAAATTATCAGTCCCTTTTCTTTTAGTCTTTCCAAAACTTTTATTAGTTTTTCTTCATGATCTATCCTATCTTTATTTGAAAAGATAATAATATCATCAATGTATGCTAAACCAAAATCTTCCAATCCTTCTACATTTTTATCCATAAATCTCTGATAAATTCCTGGGGCTTGCTTAATTCCAAATGGTAACACATTCCATTCATAATGTTTTTGTGGTGGACAAGAAAAAGCTGTTAAGGGTTTTGTATTTTCATGGAGCCTTAATTGCCAATATCCTGATTTAGCGTCTAGGCTACTAAACCAAGTTTGTCCTTTCAATCTTTCCAGAATATAATCTTTTCTTGGTAATTTATAACTGTCTCCTATAGTGTGTTCATTGAGTTTTTTGTAATTTATTACCATACGTCTTTTTCCCCTTTTAATTTCATTATTATTTTCTACATAGAATGCCGGAGCACTATGCGGACTTTTACTTTCTCGAATAATATTTTTACTGAGTAAATCTCCACATTCTACTAGAAATTCTTCTACATCTCTTTGAGTATATTGTATTTTATTAGGAACATTAACTTCGATATTTGGATCTTTTAGTTTAATTTTCATTAATTCTGAATTTTTATTTTTTGTATTATCTAAAGGGTGTTCACTACAGACTTCCTCCAGTTTTTCTTCAACTATTCCGTAGGCTACTTGGATATATTCAAGCTTATTTTTAAGTCTTTGTAAGACAGTTCTTAATACTTCGTTTTTTGTTATTATCTTGGTGGTAACGATTTTTTACTCTTGATTTTTCATTTTTGGAGCTTTTAGACTTATACTCTTAATTCTTTGAGTAAATGGTTGATATAGTTTAAGAAAATTATTTCCTATTATTATGTCTAATCCTGAATCATGAAGATATATTGTTTTGGCAGTAAATACATATTGTTCTATAATGATAGGCACGTAATGTTTTACATACCAGATTTCATGGATAGATTTATCTGCAACGATAATTTTTAATGGTTTATCTAATTTATCCCAACCTCTAATGGTCGATCTTTTTGCAAAATACAGTGTTGCTCCTGTGTCTATATATGCCAGAAGATTCTTATTTTCAATAGTAACTTTTATGAATGTTGCGTTCGGGTTATTTTTAGCTAGAATCTTCTTCTGACTCATCTGAAAATATTTCTAAATCTGTAAGATATTCAATAATTTCTATGTCTGATAGTTCTAAATCTGTTTCTTCTATAGGTTCGAATCCACAATCATATGCTATCCTTAGAACTTCCTGCTTCTTATTATTAGTATTTTTCTTTGGGAATTTATTAGCATAATGTCCTTCTTCATTGCAGAGCCAACATCTGCAATTAGTTTTGCTTTTAGGACAATAATCTTTCTGACTAGTTTTCTGTTTAAATTGTTTTCTGTTTCTAAAATACTTATTAGGGTTTCTATATCTATTTTTCTATATTCCTTATAGGGTATTTTTTGCCATTTTTTGTATTTTTCGTATCTCCGTTTTTTCTTTATTTTTGGTCGTTCATCACTACATCCGTATTTTCCGATTTTATCGGTGGAGACCTCACAGCAGAGGTCAATTTTAGCTTGCTTTTTTAGTTTTTCTTCATTACGGGCTCGTTTATGCCATTCCTGTAATGTTAGAATTCGTCCTCCTAATGTATCTGGTACTTCTTCCTTTTGAACTGCTTCATTAAAAGCAGTTTCTACTTTTTGTGCTACTATTAAAGGAAGTTTAGAAAAGAATAATTTATCTAAGTCTTTTCTTACTGACGGAATAACCTGATAATAATGTATCTTAAATTCGCAAATAAATGATTCTAAATAACACATATTGCAGATTCTTAAGTTAGTTAGGTGCCAAATAGCCTGATTACTCAGAGTTGCATTAGTTTCTTTTTCTCTTGGATATCTTCCTAGAAATTCATAGGTTAAAGCATTTAATATTTTTTCAAAAGTTTTTATAGCGTCATCCCCATATAGGGTTGTTTTTGCAGGAATATCCATTGCACTTAAATAGTGATAAACTGCTCCAGTGGTTTTGTACATTAAGAAATTAAATATTTCACTAGGTTGAAGTTTTCTTAATTCCTCGTTAGTTTGAATTAATAATCCTGTTCGATTTTTCCAGTCTTCTAATTCTTTTAATGGATTAGTACTACAGTCTAAATCTAGAATATCTGAACTATTATAACTTGTTGTAGAGTATTTAGGAATGTATGAGTGAGGAATTTTCGTCCATTCTCCCCCCCCCCTACGAGGTGCAAAATGATTTTTATAAAGATATTCGTCAAAGTTCATTTGACCGTCATTATAATCATTAAATCGTCTTTTATTTGATTTAGATGGGTTGGATGTTTCTCCTGGGTTATTTTTTGTTTTCATATAATTTGTATATGGATTTTTCATCACTACTGTAGTCTAGTAATACTTTATCATTTTCAATGTGGTCTTCGTTATCTGATTCAATATTGAACCGACTCCTCTCTCTCTCTCTCTCT